TTGAGCCCAAAATGGCATCGCCACTGCTGTGACTGCAACAATAAAGCACTTCCAGTGGCAGAAAAAAGCCACAAGCATTTCCCCCGGCTGCAGCATCCTGATTTCTCAGCCCACGGTGACCCCCCCCCCGGCCCCGCCGGCCACCCCTTGCTGCTGCTTAAGGCCTCAAATAAATATCCGCAATCAACCTTGACTGCAACAGGAGATAATTGCATTTGCTTTACAGATGAACTGGAAAATGTCGAACAATGGGATTTGCCGAGGGAGCCCGGGCCGGCAGCGGGGGCACGTGCCGTTTGCCGAGCGCCGGGGCACGTTGGGGAGGATGGTGGGACCCCCCGGTCACCCCGATGCCCGGCTGGATGCTGCTGCCCCACAGCCACGTGGCGATGGCTGAGAGCAGCCCCCTAGCTGCTCTGTGTCACCCCCGGGGGACGTCAGGCTGGGTCCTCCCCGCTGGCATGGCAGCACGGCCAGTGGGACGGCCACCCTGTGCCCCCCCCATCCATCCATCCATCCATCCATATATCCATCTATCCCCTGCTCCTGGTGGCTCCCAAGGCCAGCACAGGGTCTGACCCCGCAGCCCAGGCAGCGTCCCTGCCCCACGGCAGAGAGGCACCGAGCGAAAGCCACGGGCATCAAGTGGGGTCCCACCACCCCACATCACACCCTGTGCCCAGCGCAGCCACGAGCGGACACCTCCGAGAGCCTGTGACCAGTTTGATTTAAATCTGGATGGATGGATGGATGGATGGATGGATTGGTGGGTGGGTGGGTGGATGGATGGATGGATTGGTGGGTGGATGGATGGATGGATGGATGGATGGATGGATGGATGGATGGATAAAAGGGGTTCCCGGGGCTCATAGGCCATCCCTCCATCCCACCTCTGTCTCCGCAGGGCTGCTGCTGCCAAGCCCTGGGCTGACACTGGCCACACCCCAATAAGAAGCCTTAAACACCTGTTTTTAACCAAAGCTGCCCGTTTTCAAGTTCAAAGCTTCCCCTGCCGATGGAAACCCTGCGGATGGCTGGGGCTGGCCCAGCCTGAACCCCCACCACTGAAAACACCCCCTTCAGAGCAGGGCTGGGTGGGCACCACTGCCTCCTCTCCTCCAGAGCCCCCCTCAAACGGGGCTGTCAGACTTTCCCCACACAGGTTCCCAGCCCCCCCCTTGCACCCCCTGCCCTGGAGGCACTGGGACACCCTCTGTCCCTTGTCACCTGCCCCCCAGTTGGGAGCACTCACAGCACAGGACCCCCTCGGTGCCAGCGCTGCCGCTCTCCTCCCCAGAGACACGGGAGCCTGGGCATCACCAGGATGTGTCCTGGCCTTTGGAGTGCTGCCCCCCCCCCAGACACTGCCTCCCGAGGGTCCCCACGAGGGCTGGGACAGGGTCGGGGTGCCCCTGGGACGGCCGTGCCGGAGCGGTGTGTGCTGGGGAGAGGGCAAACCCGCCGGGGAAGCAGAGATGGGCACTGCCTTCGGGCTGGGTTGGGAACACGTGTGTCTTGGCAGCCCCGGGAAGTGGCACGGAGCACCCATGGGACCTGGGAAGGCCACCCTGCTGTCCCCTGCCCCTGAGGATTTAGGGTAGGACCTCTAATAAATACACCACGGGAGCCTCCGCCAAACAGCCGGCATCTGCCACGGCATCTCCTGTCGGTGCCACCACACACCCCGTGGCCATGGGGGACACAGACCCCCCCTCAGTGGGGCTTTTTCACCCAGGGGGACAAATCCAGAGTTGGGGATAATTCCAGCCCCCCCCCCCGATGCTGTGCCCCATCGCTGGGGCTGGCAGCACCCATTCTTGTGGGGGGGGGTTGCAGCAGGAGGGACCCACTGCGGCCCCACACTGTGCCAGCCTCACCCCCCACCTCCCCAAAGCCTTGGGGTGCTCAGAGGGGAGATGGGTCACACCAGGAGCCCCCTCCCCACGTGTTGGGGGGGAGAAACCTACAGCCCCACGTGTGCACAGGGAAGTGGGGGCCTGTCCTCAGCGAGCGCTCCCAAAAATTGTGGCTACAGCAACATGAAAGATCCCAAGCCCCAGCTTAGATGTGAGGGCAGGGTCTCCCCCCTTTCCCTCCCCCCCCCAGCT